TCTAAGAGGAGACCTGATCGAGGTCTTCAGACAAACTAAGAACGAGGGAACTAAGGGGCCATGAATACCATCTAGAAAAGAATAGAAGCAGGTTGGATGTGAGGAAACATTCCTTCACAAATAGGGTGGTCAACTTCTGAAATCGCCATCTTGAAGGACTCGTTCAACTAAACAGTGCAAGCCTTTAAGATGGAATTAGATGAAGTACGGACCGAGACCTTTGCAGAGGTGACCTAAAACACAAGGGAAATAAGCGCTTTATTTTCTTTTTCCCACCCCCACGTTTGACATAACGTGGTGCATATACGCACGCTGGAACGCTTACGCTTAAGTGTACGTAAATCTTTCACTGACACGGCGAGAGGACAGCTTGTTCCCTCTTTTTCAGCCTTGCAGAAAACAGGCGCGACAACTACCACATCCGAATATCTTCGGTCGGTCGCGGAACTATCAGCCGTGCTGTAAGCCGGACAAACATACAGCTCGATCGGTCTGTAGTGACAATGAGTGTACGAAGAAAAGGAGCAATCTACGAGGACGTTTTCTGTTCATATTTTCTTCACAATCAATTTTGACTCCAACTGTGATATTTCTGCTTTGCTGAGCACGGTTTTTCGCTCAGGTGTATATAAGCTGGGTCCTGTTCAAACCTACGCAACACGTGTGACATGCTTTCGCCTAGCTACTGTATTTATTTGCTTGCATTGTTTGGTCATCACATCGGCACGTATTCTGCACTATCTAGCACCAGGATACGCCATTAAACATCTACGACGACCACGAGTGTTTTTGTCTACCTCGAGACATTAGGAGGTCGCGCGAATTATTTGAGATCCGTAAGATTTATCGACAGACCGTAAACGTCGATTAGCTTCAGGTCTACCGACGAGGTCGAGCCAGAATCAGGACAACCATAAGGCCGAAGCCTCTACGTCCCGGAAATTCGGATTGGATTGAAATGGCTATGAAATCGGAAATAAGGCCTCTGATTGCCTACGCTGTGTTGGGATTCAGATCAAATTGCTGAAAAAACAAAGATCTTGGCATACTACTGCCGCTTACCTTGTGCAAACTGAACTCAACGACATCAGTCGTTTTCATTAAACAATTACTGGAAGATTACTTATTGAAAATGTATTTGAAACCATGAAATATATGTACATATACATAAATGTGGTGATTATTTGGTCCAAGAAACTTTCTGAATATCAAAGTGTTCTGTCAGAGTTTCAAGGTGATTATTTAGTTCAATAATTCGCTGCTTATGCGACTTAACTGCCTTTGAAAGAGCATTCTCAACAATTCGTTTTTCCCTTCTTTTCTCCCATTCGCGTTGCGCTTTTGTTAGATGGCTCTGATCATGAGATTTCATTTTCGTCTTTTCTGCCTTCTCGGGTGATTCGTGCTCAGCCAATTCGTCAGTCCTTACGTCATCATGTGGAATATCGACCACTGTAGTGTGTTTATGATGCTTTTTCTTTTTTCTGCAAGTATTTATTGCGAGAATAACGCAACTTACTTCTTAATCCCCTGGCCCTTGCGCAAGCGCAGGGAACCAACCACAATATTATCGTACTCCGACATTTGAATTTGGCACCACCTTTTTCAGTGATCGCAGACGACTTCAGTTCAGTTCAGTTTGCACAAGTCAGGACAGATCACAGGACTTGCGGCGGAGCCAGAAGCAGTCCGGTTTCTTGTACCAGTGAACTTGGGAGCAT